GAAATCTAAACTTTCGACAGAGTATCTCGCATCACATCGAATTCAGGTAAAACCGGCTTCAGGGTCAGGCTCCTGGTCGGAAGAGTCTATTCTGAAAGAACATGTTAGGTCGAGTTCTAATTGGAAACTTAATTGGGCGTATTGAAACGCATCAATTGGAAAATCTATCAGTACTACCCGTTTTTCCCCTAGACAACGCCAAACTTTTTTAACACGTTGAAAACGTTTATAGTTTTGTCGCATTTAAACACGTTTATTTTTACGAGTTTTGCGTTTAAAAGCGTGATCTTCGACGTGTTGAAACCGTTTTCCCCGTTTTTTCAACGCGTCGTAGGCAGTTTTAAATGTTTTTTTCATTTCATCAGTCACTAGTTGAATGAAACAAGACTCCTCTAAGCTGGCTTACTTTTGTTTCTATACTACAAATCAATTTTGTTTCTACTTGCTATATTGCCTTTTTTTGTCTAATTAATTTTTTGCGTTTATACTAAAACAAAAGATGTTTTTCTATATCCAGATTAACTGAATTATACTTTATGTCAAGCAAAAAATAACAGTACCTGTTTTTTAACTTATTGTACATAACAATGACGACGGTGCTTTTGATTTGATACTGCTAAGACTTGCAAGCGGTGCATTGTTTTCTGCACCCGATGAACCATTGCGTTGATCTAAAGCTTGTTGTTTAACAAACAGGACATCAGCATTTATTATTCTTTTTAAACGCATGTATGTGTTCAATTTCAGAAAAAACTTTCGAAAAAGCTTGAGTTCTTGGTTTTTAAATTAAATTTGCGAGTGGAAAAGATTCCGAGTTGAAAATTTTTTCCCTCACTCTGTTCTTGTACAAATAAAATTCACTTTTTCGAACGAGAACAAAGCTAGTCTACACGTCAGTGTCTTATTATTATTCTTTTTTTAAATAAAAAGTTTATAAAAAAAAAAGAATAATAATAAGACACTGACGTGTAGACTAGCTTTGTTCTCGTTCGAAAAAGTGAATTTTATTTGTACAAGAACAGAGTGAGGGAAAAAATTGATTGTTGTTCTGTTTGCGTCATACAGCATTCATCCTTTTTCGGTTTTTGGTTAACGACGAACACGTCCCTGTTTGAACTACTTGGTGAGGTGAGTCCTTAAGCCACTAAAAATTATTATATCTTTCATTGACGAAACCATTTTGATACTCAAGACCATTCTGGATCATTCGATGTGCATGTGTTTGAGACAAAAAAAGAGTTTTCGGCCGCAAAAGAGCAGCATTTCACAATTACATAATTAAGAATGAGCTTTATTCACAGTTCGTTTTTGGCGATCAAATTGCTGGAGGCTTGGCCACGTATCGAAGAGAAGATGCCGTGCAATCACAGATTTTCGCGGTGTAAACCGATTGTGCAGGACTGGTGCGACTGAGACGCGGAGTGGAGAGGATTCAGCCCCCCCTCCCAATTGTGGATTGTTATTCGAACGTCGCAGTAGAATAGGATGTGTCCCGACAGTTCGAAAAGACTCGTTGCTTTCTCTTCCAAAATCCGGAATCGAACGATATTTTGCTCGAGAAAACTGGAAACAAACCGGAATACATTTCTCTCTCCAAAAAGATAACCATCCAAAGTGTAACTTTTTTCATCAGTCTGGAGAAAGCTTTTGCTTCGCGAAAAACTAACGTTTGCATAAGTGTGTTAAACCTATAGAATCTTTGAACTGTATGCTTTTTGAAAATTTGGTTGCGTTTAATTTTTCAAAAACCGTCGCCAGCATGGCCGCCTACGACTAGAAAGCACTCAAAAAATTTTCTGAATTGGCTGTGAAGTTATTTTCTTTCTAAAAAGACCTCAAGGTAAAGTGGGATTTATTTCAAGATCGGAAAAAGACTTTCACTTCGCGAAATTCTTTTTGAGTTCCGTGTGAACTTAGGCAGTTTTTCGTAGCCCAACATTGCTGCATAAAAATTGGTTGGAGACGATGTAAGCCTTGTTTTCTCGTCCGTTGGTCGGTTAACAAATGTTATATTGTGATTTCTTCTGAATTAACCTTTTGATATCCAAAGATGAATATAACCGATACACTCACACTTTATTATAAAAAATCAGCAACTATATATAGGTTTATGAACAATGCATTAGATATGGTAATGTCCGAGTTAAAGGCAATTCCCCAAACAGAATAGGGAGAAAACCCATCATTCAACAGAAAGGAAAGAAACAGAATAGAGAAAGTTATATATGGGGAAAATCCCAGAACATAGAGAATAACGCGCAAACGTATATATATCCATGTTTATAAGACGAATAGCAGAAGTGATGATATGATCTAACCGAAGGTGAAGATCATAACAGACGACATGATTTTCGTTGATTTTCGAGCTTGGGGAGAAATTTACACTAGCGCTGATGCGAAAACAATTGTGTCCCTTCCCAATCTTGAACACCTGGTGTCTGTCCTGCAACTGTGAATAAAACTGATTTCCGTTGTTCAGTCATAGAAAATCCCGTTTGTCAGTGTCACGGTCTGGAGAAAGACCATGTGCTAGAAAATTAGTAAACTGTTACTTGTCTGATAGTTTTAATAGTGCTGACGGTTACCACAGGAAAACGATTCTCGTTTGATACCGAGAAATATATTGGGTGTAATGGCCAAGGCTCCACCACAATCCGTATTTCCCTTGCAAGGTCAACAGAGATCGGGATTCGAACAAATGACTACTGGCGGTATTGTTCGACCTCAAATCGGTAGATAACCTCAGATAGATAGACAAACTCGGCCGGCCTCAGCATTTAACAAAATGACAACTGGTGATACTGTTCAACCTGGAATCGGTAGAGAAACTTGGCCGGCACCAGCATTCAATCAGATGAGTACTGGCGGTATTGTTCGACCTCAGATAGATAGACAAACTCGGCCGGCCTCAGCATTTAACAAAATGACGACTGGTGATATTGTTCGACTTCAGATTGATAGACAGGGTAATTATACATAAATGCTTGTATAGTGGGTATAAAAACACAAAGCTAGGTAGTACTGAAAAGCCATAGAATTAGCCGTCATCGATTTTTAAACCACACTGGATTCGTTTGTCCCTTTTCGCGATCGAATATAGACTATGCTTTTTTCAGAGTACACAACAGCGTCGTTCTCATCACGCCTCGATTCTTCGATGATGGACAATACTTGGCATGTCAAGATGAAAGGCATTCTTCCGCACACTAGGAAAGAAGAATTAGCAAATATCCTGCATCTCCCAGCGCGAAACATTGTTATTCCTCTACATCAGCAACGCGGTCGGGTCTGGTTTGCGTGGCTGAACAATTTTCAAAGTGAACAAGATGCAAACGAGTTTGCGGCTCAGTGGCGTGGTAGATGTATGCAACCAACCTCGAAAATTTACATAAGCTGTACAGTTCGTCCACCTGGCGCAATGGCTAATGATCAAACGTTAACCAGAAGTTCTCCGGAACCGTCCACACTCTCACAATCATACGATGATGGTAAATAGCTATCAGCAGCTGAATATTACACCAGTCGAAATTTTCCAATTAGAACTCGACCTAACATGTTCTTTCAGAATAGACTCTTCCGACCAGGAGCCTGACCCTGAAGCCGGTTTTACCTGAATTCGATGTGATGCGAGATACTCTGTCGAAAGTTTAGATTTC